TTAATGCTTGTAAAGTGATAAGCAAATAAGGCCTTATAATGGGAAAGGTCAGGCAGCCTTAATAATAGCTGGTGCCACCGGCCCTGCTTGTAAGGTTGATAAAGCTCTCATAGCGCAGCCTAAGCAGGACACTTCACACGAGAGTTTGCAGCTGCTCTTCAGCTTTCAGTCGAGTGGAAGGGTTTGTGTGCAGGAGGGTGAGGCACCAGGTGAAATCACTGAAGTTTGCTCTGGCCTCACCTGCCCTTCCACGCCTAGAGATGTTCTCCCGCAAACGTCGGGAGAAGACTCCTGGAGAATCTCTATGCAAGGCTGGTGCTATTGCATGCATGAGGGCAGGAGCAGCCAGGTCACATTGGCACAGCTCTGTCTTTGCTGTGGTTAAATTTCAGGTAGGACGCAGATAGCCACAGGACAAGGGGGTGGGTCAATGGGCCTCACATAGTTCCTTTCGATGCTCATCTACTTCTCTGTACAACTTAGCCAAGAGTACCTTGTGCTCTAACACTAATGCAAATCACCCAGGCTGAATGTGCAGCATGGATATAGGCTCAGAAACGTGAGGCATAGTGCCCCATGAGGCTGTTGTAGCACAGTTAGTCAATGTGGCAGCAGTCCACCTGTATCTGTACCAGATACCTAACTATTTGTATTGATGAAGAGAAGGGCAATCATTTTGCCTCTGCCAGTTTTCACTTTGTTCCTTCCTGATTTGATTAATGTGATTTGACTTGTTGAGCCCTTTGGGCTGTGGGGTTCTGTGAGGTTTTATTTGTGAGATGCTGCCAAGTGTTCACATTAACGCATCACCAGAAACCCAATTTCCTTCCCTGGCTACAGGAAAAGAAAACCCGCTTCAAAGTTATTGCATGGTCATGAACTCACCAGCACTGCCAAATTGCAGGCGAATGATTAGCCCAGGAGATTAGCTTGCAGAGCAAACTCCCACAGCGCGGCCTCAAGGTTACCAAGCTGGGAGACTGCAGAGAAAATGACAATTGTTTGCCAACCCCCCTTGTGCCCTTTAAAAGAGACAATTCTTTGCTTTTTGGCATGAGTGAACACAGCCTTTGCTCATTGTAAAGGTAGCTGTGCTCTGACTCAGGGGCCAAGTGCAGTGGCCTGAGTCTGAAGCTGGGCTGAGCCAGCTGTGAGCGCGCCCCTGGCTGATTCAGTCGGGCAGGGTAAGGTTTTGTTTGCTTTGCCCCTGGGGACTGGCGATGAAAGGTATTGCTGGCGTACAGGTGGCAGCAACCCACCGAAAAGCGGACAGCAGTGCGCGTCTGCAGA